GCAAATGGCTGCAATATAACAAAGAGTGAAAAATTTAAGGGGGTCTGAATACTTTCCGTACCCACTGTATGTACAAATTGAATCTCCCAGCATGCTACAGTCACACAACAAGCTGCCTACTGACACACTGCTGACTGGCTTGGATCAAATGCAGCAAAAATTTAATTAGACCAAAAAAAAAAGCACTGGACTTATAATAATAGAATATATAGAATATATAATATTAGTAATATATAGAAATAATATATAATATGTTGCATTTGTCATTTCACAATTGAATGGAATAAAAAGAAAGAAATATACTTGTAATACACTGATCAGTAAATGATTTTTTTCTTGAATGTTTTTGATAGAAGTCTCTTACACTCACCAAGGTTCATGAAAAAAAAAGAACTGTAAAAATGAATAATATGAAATATTATTACAATTTTAAAAAATTGTTTTCTTAAATATATTTAAAATGTCATTTATTCCTGTGATGGCAAAGCTGAATTTTCAGCTTTCATTCACTGTCTTAAGATCCATTAGAAATCATTCTCATTTTAATTTTGGAAATGTGATAGACTGTTCATTAAAGACTTTATTATAAATAGAAATCTTTTGTAACACTATGATAAATGCTAAATGTCTTTGCCACTTTTGATAAATTAATACTTTCCTTCAAAAGAAAAAACCCTTAAAATTTTGAACAGTATTGTATGTAGCTACCGAAAGGAAAATATGTCTTGGACTCATGATGTGGTACACATACACTAAACAGCGTAATTTCTCCTTCATATAATTCTATAAGTAGGACAATAAACAATGTAACAATATTAGAATACAAAAAAATATAGAGAGAGAGAGACAATTGAGTAAATCACGGATAAACTATTCCTAATGATTTTCAACATAGGCAAGTAAAACATGAGCGAGTGTAAGAGGGCCCCTCTCAGTCGAACATACTCAAGTTTCAGCTATCTAGCTTACTGGAAAGGCTTTTACAGAAGTTAACGCAACTGCATTGTAGGCTTGTATGCATTCGGAAGTAATTCTTCCAGGATTATGAAATTTTAGAGAGTGTCAGAGGACTGCTCTGAAATTAACATATATGAATTTCAGCATCCTAGCTTGCTGGGAAGGTTGCTCCAGAAAGCCAATTTGTATACTTTATTATAACTGGTGAAATTTTGCTACCTTCAAATCCCAGTGTTGCAATTTTTCAAAACTCACCCAAGACAAAATCTGCATTAAAAATTCATAATTTTTATAACCAGTGGCTTATTAAAAAAAGGTTTGACATGGAAAAATAACACAACATTAATATGAATCACCCAAAGGAAAATCACTGCGTTTAGCAGTTTTGGTGCACGTTGGATCTCACCTGAGAAACACTCGCAGTTGGGGTCAATCTTACAATCACATTCACTGGTCGCCCCCGCGATTATGACCATTTCTCCATTTGTGGACACCTCTTGCAGGCGGCTGTGCTTCCGGTCGTCGGTTTCGGCGATGTACAGAGCCCCCTGGTGGCTGACAATGATAGCTTTCGCTCCCTCCAGCACAGAACGCACCGCTGTTTTCCCCAGAAGAACCGGTTCAATACTGGCCATGGGGCAATGGATGGGTCGTCCAGCAACCACACGCACCTGCTGGGACTCACTCACCTGGAGCACAAGGTTATTATCGAGAACGTAGAGAGAGTTATCCAGCGGACTCACTGCCAGGTCTGTGGGCCACTCTAAACGCACCTGTGGATACACAAATGTATATTATTACCTGCTATGAATGTGAAAAGTGTGATTTTCATCATGACAGATTTCACAGCCACTCTCATCTGCTCATGGCTCATTCAGACATACTCTCTCCAGCTGACGCGAAGGACAGCGAGTTATCTCATTTGGACTATCATTATACCGATTTACATGTAACATCAGTGGGCAGGACTGTTTTACATTATATATACAGGGAAGAGATGAAACAGGGAGGAATGTGAAAATACCAAACAAGTGAAGAATTGATATCATACTGTGTCTTGTATTGTGTGGACACGGTTTGGATTTACAAAATCTGAGAGCGAGCAGAAAAATATTCTCTGCAAACTGTGTCGCATGCCAGTCCTCTGGAGGTGGAAACGCCAAAACTACTTTTCACCACCGGAGGTGGAAAAACCTCTTTTACCAACAAAAAATGAAGTATGCTAAACTACAAGAGCCACAAGATGCACCCTGCATCCACTGATCCATTTAACAACATTAGTTTTGCTGCTTTGTTTCTTTTGTTTCAAAATCTAGTAAGATACATAATAAGGCTGCTTTTGCACTGATGCTAGACATATTTGTTATGAATATACACCAAAATATAATGAAAAATATTATACATATTGAACAATACAATGATTATGTGACCCTGGACCACAAAACCAGTCATAAGGGTCAATTTTTTGAAATTGAAATTTATATATCATCTGAAAGCTGAATAAATAAGTTTTCCATTGACGTATGTATGGTTTGTTAGGATAGGACAATATTTGGCCGAGATACAAATATTTGAAAATCTGGAATCTGAGGGTGCAAAAAAATCTAAATACTGAGAAAATCGCCTTTAAAGTTGTCCAAACGAAGTTCTTAGCAATGCATACTACTAATCAAAAATTAAGTTTTGATATATGTTCCATTAGGAAATTTACAAAATATCTTCATGGAACATGATCTTTACTTAATATCCTAATGATTTTTTGGCATAAAAGAAAAATCGATAATTTTGACCCATACAGTGTTTTTTTGGCTATTGCTAAAAATATACCCAAGCGACTTAAGACCAGGGTCACATATATGTATAAGTATCTTATTACAAATTATATTATGCATCATTCATAACATTAAATATAATAATACATACACACACAGTAACACATAGACAGTATATATATTTTGTGATGTGCACCAACCAAACTGAAAATACATAATCAAATAATCCAATGAGATGCAGTGCCTTTCATTTATAAAGTATATAACTTGATTATTAAAAAAGTATTAACACATGGTTAGTTAATATATACCAGAGTAACTCAAATGTGAGGAAACTGGGAACTTAATAGAGACAAATTCAAAGCAGCATTCTAAAACAATATTTTACAATTCATATAGGTAAAATATATGAAGTTAAGTGAGTGAATATTTAGAACAAGTGAACTATGAATAATTTTTGTTGCTTAAAACATTGTAAAAAAAAAAAAATCAGTCACTCACAGTAAGTCTATGGTCTACTGCCATTAAAATAACCATGTAGACTGCAGTCTAATCATATAACGCAGGGGCAGGGAGCAGCAGCACTGTTTGAGTCTGGAGGAAAAACACCCCCTTGGCTATCTACACCCATGATATTAACCATTTCCCTGTTAAATTTCCTGTAAAAATAACTACATTGTGATATATACCATTACAGTGATAATATTTTAGTCATAGCACCCAGCCCTAATGTGCAGCCAGGTACAAAAACCACATCTTGGTTGGTTGTGTGTGTGTGTCCGCAGCTGCCCGACAGCCGGACAGTATTGAGTGTGAAGTGTGTCATATCCCAGGCATGCTGGGAATTATGCAGATTTCAGTGCTTCTTTTACCCAGTGGCCCGCGGCACCTCATTTGCCCTTCTCTCTCTCTCTCTCTCTCTCTCTCTCTCCTCACTGTCTGATTCTTATTCACACACAACACACCCCGCCGGATGAACTGTGAAGAAGTGCAGCGTGTGTGTGTAGATGGCAGTGAGAGAGAGCGAGAAAGAGAGCGAGAGAATGAAAAAGAAATCAAGGGATAGTCTGCCAAAAATTGATGCTATTCAGAAGCGGGAAGAATTGTGTCTGACTTTGAAGGGAGAGCGGTCCTGCAATTTAATGAGGACACACTAAGTTAAACTGCAGGGGGAGAGAGAGACAGAACGAGTGAGTAAAATAGATTTTTAAGAGCACCTAAAAAGAAAGACGTGGAATTGCCTTATGTTTGAGAAAGGCTTTACGATTTTAGTGTTCGAAATGGATAGAACACAAAAAGGCGGAAACCTCAAAGGATGAAGAGAGAAAGAGAGAGGGAGAGAGATAAAAGAAAAGTAAGGATGTTGCTGCAAGCTGTATAATGTAACTCTCTGTAGCACCAGAGAGACCTTCGGTATCAGCAGGAGCCACCGTATGTAAATCTGTACCAGTGTGTGTGTTTTGTTCACCTGGCTGATGTCCATTCGAGAGTCGCAGCTGATTGGCTGGGAGGACGTGAGTCCGTTTGACCCAATGATGGTTGTTATCACTCCTTTGTCATCAATCTTACGGATCGTTGATCCGTCAACAAAGTAAATGAACCCGTGCTTGTCCACTGCGATACCTGTAGGACAACAGGATACACACACAGTCATTTCTCTCCATCTCTTTCAGTTTTAATGCGCTTTATTGGCGTAACAAATAATGTTACATTTGCACTGCCGATGCAGTCACAGCTTAACAGCAGATGATGAGGAACGGTGCAATGAAGAAAGACGGGTTTCACCATCTCAGGCAATATATTCCTCTGTGTGCGATCATTCTGTTCACATCATCTTAAATATATGCAAATTACCTTATATATGCAGATTTATGCGACATGACATCAGATATGCAAAAGAATCCGGTATTTCTTTTCATTGTTCATCCAATTTCTCTCTTTCATTTGTCTTTTTCTATTCGAATGCTTGCAAATCACCTTGAGCTATGCAAGGCAACTCGGTTTTACATTTAAATCGAACAATGCACAAACATACATTGTTACAGTTTAATTAAAACTGATCTTTAGCACAAATACACCTCCAGGCCAACAATCGCCACCCTCATTGCTGTCAAAGACTTCATTGTGCTTTATTGATATTGTTTCTTTAAAGACGTCCGTTCCACAGATCTTTCAAAGCATACGGTTTGTAAGGAGCAAAATATGCTCTGAATGGAGTATTAACTTAATACCATATATGACCACATCATTTTTACTAAGAGCAAGCTAGACAGTATTTTACAGTAAACTTTCTTCACAGTAAAGTTTTCATACTCAAAATTAAAATTATTATTTTGCAATTGTAATCAAATTTTGCGTCTTAACATTTGGCACTCTGATCAAATAATGAGCCAAGGAACATGTTATAAAAATCACAGCTGATATTATTTCTGGCTAATTTGTAACACTGGAAACTGAAGGTCAAGTTGAGTGCATTGCACTGTGGGATACAGTATTCCGTACAATGTCCTCTGGTTGTACACTGCTAATTTTGGCAAATCCATGTATTCTGTGCATATTGTGCACAGTATAGATACTACATTCTGCCGCAGTAGTAAGAGTAGTGCTGTATACAATTTGGAACACCTCCACACAAATAAGCACAGAGGCTATTAATTTTTGATTTTTTTTGTTCTGTGTCGCTTACTGATATTTTTGTCCTCCACAGGGATTTTTCTCTGAAGTGGGAACGGGCTTATATAACCATCTCTTTCACACACACACACACACACACACACACACACACATCAGAGTTTGTTATGGCAAATAGCACTGTGTGTGTATGTGTGCGTGTGTTTGTGGCTTTCCTTTTCCTTCTCTAATTTGCTCTCTTTATTCTCGCTCTCTTCCTCTAATGAGAATCACAGAGATAAGCAGACATATTCTGTTCTCACCACGTTGATTTACTCTGGGAGAGATCGAGTCACACACTTAGCCATATACACACACACAGACACATGCATGCAGTGCCAGATGTTTTAAATGCTTTATTTGGATTCACAATTTAGATAATACTAACATGATCCACATATTTTTGGAGACAGTATATGGCAAGAAAATCTGCCCAGAGAGTGCATCTCAACACAGCTCCAGTAAATGACAGCTCACACATGTCAGTATGGATAGCGGTAACAGCATCTTCTCCATATGGATAAACTGCCTATAATAGCTGACACAGAGCAGTACTTCACTAGTGGCATCGCCTGTTTCTTTCCCAACCCACACTGTAAAAACTGAATATGTGCAGTTGCTCCCTTGAGGAGCTTATTTTCTATCTGCCATGACCCTTAAAATGACTTCAACTAATGTAGTCGGGCTGACTCAATCATATTTAAACAATATTTTGACATATTTTTGGAGCAAATATGTATGGATCATCTATGTCATCAACTCGAAAACGACCAAAAATCTATGCAACAGTTGTACATTTACAACCAAACACCAATTTGCCAGTAAAACAATCTTCCATATACAAATCTACATATACGAATCAAACCTACAGCAACCATCCAGAATGAAATCTGTTTTTATTAATTGCTATTTTGCTTGTTGGCAAGCTGAGTGTTTATGTGATGTAAACCAGTCCATTTGATCAGTTTCTTTGCTTTATAGGGGAGACCTGCCTAGTTGTCACAAGGGCAATCATAAAAACATGTTTTTATGTCATAATTATGACAATTGTCATAATTTGTCATTTATGTTTGCTATTTGGACTTTTGCCTACATATATAATTGTAACATCTCAATTCCAACTTGTCATATATGTGACTTTTTACGTCATAATCATAACATAAAAATCTGAAACTGAAAAACTATTGAAAATTATGAAAACATAATTATTATTATGTAGTTATAACTATTATTTACAGTACCACATTTTTATAAAACCAATTATTGTAATTTATCAGATGTGTTTAATATATTATAATCTTAATGTAGTAATTATCAATTACAGTTTTTTCGTTGGCCAAAATAATAGTTTGAAATTTCTGTATAATACCATTCACATTTTTTTAAATGAATTATGTGCTGCATTATTGTGTTACTGTTTAAATTTAGTTGGAAAGCCATTAAAAACGACTAAAAACACATCTGTTCCACCTTTATTTGACCCTCTAACTCTAACACTTTCTATTCTATTTTAATTCTACTTTATCTATATTTATCTTTTTTTTTTATTCTTTATTTAAAACAAAACAACAAAAAACAAAAACTAGCTTTCTATTTTTTCTATTCTATCTACTTGTTTTTCTTTGTTTGTGTGTGTGTGTATTATATATATATATATATATATATATATACAGTATATATATACACCTTGCTATGTGTACTGCGTTAGGCTAACCGAGACTTGTCATTTGCACTTATATATTGTTGCTCTTTTGTTAGTTTTGACTGCTTTTATTGTCCTCATTTGTAAGTCGCGTTGGATAAAAGCGTATGCTAAATGACTAAATGTAAATGTAAATAGCCTCTAATAGGGTATGCAGTGGCAGACTGCCATTATGAAAACTGATCTGTATCATTTTTCCTGTGCAATAACAGTGGAAATGTTCAATAGTTTTTTTTTTTTTTTTGTGGCCAAGACTTTGATGTATGTCCCTATACAGAAACTGACTTTGAAAAGTAAATCACTTCTGAGAAATATTCACTAGAGTAGCCCCAGTCTCGCCTATTTTTGTTGTTCAGTTTCAGTACTTTTTAATCTACTATTCAGTCATGATGAGTGGCATACAGCCTTTTAAATGCTGAGCATCCATTCAGACTTGCATGCAAAAAACAATACAGATCATGTTGTGCTGTAAACCAGACAGAAATACATGTGAAGACATGAAGACACACACACGCACACACACTACCCTTGTTGCAGAAATTCTATCTGCCTCAATAAGCCTGTTTACATATGCATCTTGTTATGGGTGCTAATTACGAGGCATATTGCCCACTTAATGAGCATAACGAGCTTAATCATTTATTCTGCCTTCAGAGGGGTATACCTCCCTCTGCCCTTCAAAGGTTCCTGAAGACACAGAGAGACCCCCAGGTCCAGAACCCTTGTTTCTTACTTATCTTCTAAAATGCAAAATGCTGGTTAGATTGAAAATGATCAGAGGAGCAGCTAATCATCACACACACACATATACAATTCAAAACAGACCACATTAATTTAGACTTCAGGAGTTTTACTCTTCTCTGAGTCTACTGAATGGAGCACGCCTGTCTGTTCACTCCTCACCTCTCTCTCTCTATTTCTCTTAAACTCTTGGCTGGCATCAGACCAGACATCGAGCACCCTATCCTACAGGGACCTGTGAATTAATGTGCCCTTTTCTCCTTCTATCTCTGTCCACCCTGAATCCAAGATTTCAGTGAATCATAGAGATGCATCTGTACCACACACTCACCCACATTCTGAGCTTGTACAGCACATATACACAGCACACGCTGACACAAATATACACTGTGGACACTGTATACTGTATACATGAATCCCAGAGGAGTTGCTCAGCGGTTGCTCTATCAGGATACTTAATGGAGTAGCATACTTAAGGGATTACAATGTTTTTCCTAAAATGTTTTAACCATCTCATTGCTAATTAAACCGAAAAAGGAAGATGAAATATAATACATTATTGTTAACAGTTTCTATATATATATATAAAAAAAAAATTATTTGGTGCTTAAGGACATTTCCTTTTATTATTAATGTTAAAAACTTACTATTTTTTTGTACAAACAATGGTGCATTTTTTAAATTCTTTGACAAATAATGTTTTTTTTCTCAAAGAACGTCCCAAATGTTTTTACATGTCTCAAGATGTCTTAAAATGACTTAAAATAGGACAAACCAAACACTGAAATAAGCCAAAACAGCTAAAATTAAGATATTACTTATTTTAACCCTAGTAAAAAAGTAATATAATTAAAATACATTTATTTCATACTAAGTACATTTCAAATCTATTAACATAACATACTTAACATATTGCTTGAGATTTACCGATATAAAAATTATAATACACTTTTTTGAAGTACTACTTACTGTACGCACAATGCATATTTCTTAATATAAGCCTAAAATGTGTTTTAATGTCACTATTGATAAAGATTGTATGATCTTTGAATAATACCAGTCTTCAAATGCATGATAGTTCAAGTGTAACTGATGTATACTTGCAGTAGTTCCACTTTAGCACAATTAAATACACTTTCAGTATAGTTATAATTAAATAACTATACTGAAAGTGTCAATCCTGCCAGTATATTTTCCTGTAATGTTCCATTAAATCTCTTGAAAATAAAATTCAAAACAAACAGGGTATTTTAAAAGATCTCGATTTTGATTTTATTTCGGCTTGTTTACTGGCTCTGTGCATGAAGCTCTGGGCCTTTGGTAGATGAAGCTAGCCGAAGACTATCAGTTTTTACCGCACTAAAGAGATCATAGTCACGGAAGATGCTGCCGTGGTGCAGAGATCAATACTGCATCACTCTGAGTTTCTATGTGTATAAAGAGATATTGATTATAAAAAACATTCTGTATATTGAGATTAATTGAATCAACAGCAAGCCAAAGTCAAGCCACACACCAACATACAGAACTGTCAAACTCATATGCAAGTGACACATTTCAGCATTACGGGTCAGTTTAGCAGAATTAAACAGAAAAAAATCACCATGCGGGGATGTTAATGCTTTGGTTGCAGTCTATTTGTGTGGACCCCCTCATGGCCCGAGAACATAGAAGGTCAGATTGCAGTTATTGAAGCTCTCAGCATTTCGGTCAGAGTCTGTTATAGATAATAGACTTCAGTAAAAACACTTTAACAAAGGAAGAAACGGGTATTCCACCCCAACGCGCACAACGGAAGGCTTTTATCCATCAGCTTGCCAGAAAAAAACGCATATGGATCGTTGAAGTGAGTGTAAAAAGGCTTAAATCAGTTTTAAATGTGATTTAGTTTGATCTGAAACACAGCCCTTTGCAGAACAGTCCGAAATCAAAGCGTGCGCACACACGCATACATGACATTACTGCTCTGGGATTCTTTATGAATTCTATCCTCAGGGGTTTACAAGCAAGTAGAGGCTTTTAACTGCGACAGTTGAGTGAGTGAGAGAGAGTGCACAATGAGGCTTGAAGGATAAGAGAACATACGTGCCCGTTAGCCACGCCCCCGTCTGTCCGTCAGGTTTAAAGAGACAGTGGCAGTGATGGATAGGCGGGACTAATAGCCGCTCCGCCTGATTTAGCAAAGAGGGAAGGCATCTTTCATTTATCTTACTTTTTCTAGTTTTCCCATTTCTCTGGCTGAAACATGCCGCTATTTTTCAATAACCACTCCACCTCGCTCACTCGCTCTTTCTCTTTGACTTGGGAAACGCAGCATGTGTGTGCACTGGATTCTCACCCCTGGGGTTACTGAGCGCCGCCTCAGTGGCCTTGCCTCCATCGCCGCACTGGTTCGGGTGGAAGGGTGTGCACTGCTCGCCTGCTGAGATCTTTGGGTTCAGTCAGAGTCTTCAGGCGGTACAGCTTCCCGCTGCTGGTATCCGACAGGTAGAGTGACTCACGCACAGGATCCACAGACAAGTAGTACTTATGAGCTGGGCTGGAGCTGGGGAAAGAGAATTTTAACAAGGCTTTACGACGAAGCAGGGCTACACACATATCGGCAACATTCTCATGTTTAAACTATTTCATAAAGTTGGAATCTGTGCCGAAAAACAACCACACACAGACTAGTGCACACACAAGGTTAGAGTAAAAAAAAAACCATCCAGGTCTCAGCGCCATGCAGAAATTTCAATCATTCTGAACTCAAGCCCCGATCAAAACTCCCAGCCTCTCCAGCGCGTCGGACCCCTGCCAGTCTATAATCTTCCTTTCCTTTCCTTCCATCCGCATCTGCCCTAAGAGCAAATCTACCTGCTGCCTCTTTCTCAACTGTTCCTTAGGCAGAATGAAAGTGAGGAAATAAAAAAAAAACTGGATTTCCTAAAAGGGCAAAACATTGTCTGCTGCTTTGACATTTGAAGGAAGTTGATTCCCTTTAGGGTTTGAGGATTAGAATTGTGTAGGGGCTGTGAGGTCAGGGGCAAAAGGGGAGAAGTTCATGTTGCTCAACCGCCAGCAACACCTGATAAAGTGTACACCTAAGCACTTACTTTGCGTTCAATAAAAATGTCTCAGAAATGTAAACAGTTTTCGCCAAAATAGTTCACAAAGCCATTAGACAAATTCAAATCAATGCTCACTGTTGTACACAGAAGCAGCTCCGGGAGGATGACGTAGGACGTCTGCGTTGCGCATGCACCGCTCAGAAGTGACGCACGCGGAAGCACAGGGGAGAGATCAAAACAAAACAACGGTCACGAATTAGAAGTACAAAACGAGGATTTGTAAAGAAGAATGTCGGAGGATTTCGATATAAACCAAGAGGAGACTGGTTTTCCTTTGCTAAAGTATGGAAACTTTGCTTCCTTTGCTCCTGTAAACAAAAGTTGGTTTTCACGAGACTCACCGGTGCATGCGCAACGCCGACATCTTACATCGTCCTCCCGGAGCTGCTTCCGTGTACAACTGTTGGCGCAAGCTAGATTAAAGTGATTATTACGTTTTGAATATGGATATTGTTCTTACAAAAACGCATAGATTCTCTACAGGAGGCCTTTGTTCACCCCCCAGAGCCGTGTGAGGCACTTTTTATTACAGATGGATGCGCTTGAGGGTGAGTAAATAATGGGCTAATTTTCATTTTTGGGTGAACTATCCCTTTAACTGCTAACAACACCAAGGTCATGGGTTCAGTTCCTAAAAATGCATAGACTGACAAAGTGTGCACTGCTGTTAGTTGCTTTCGATAAGGGTCTCACAAATGTAAATAGTTACTCCACAAAGCCATTAAGCAAATTTACATCAAAAACATTAATATTTCTTTCAAAGCTGTTTTCGTTATAATAAACGGGAATAGTTTCTGTAGTTCAAAGGTCACGGTTCAAATCCCTGGGAAAGCACAGCCTTTTAATGCAAAATGTTGCACGAATCTAGAGTTACTTCATAAACCTATTAACCAAATTCACAACAATATTGAAATGGTAAAAGAGATTCACGTTTCTCTCAAAGCTGTTTTCGATATACAGGAATAAAAGCCAAAAGCCGCCCTGTCAAGCTGTCTGTGTATACTGACAGATTGATGAAATTGAAAATGTTAATACTATGAGGTTCTTTTGAGTCTTTGCGAGGTCGAATCAGACTTTAGTTTGATCAGAAGCGTTATCTCCAAAAGAAGGCTGAAGGTAGGATTTCCCCCTTGCTGTGGGATGTAATACTGTGTGCAAACACACATGCGCACGCAAAGATAAAGGATTACAGTGCGCTTGTCAGTGTTAGTCTGTGGGGCAGAGGTCTATCCCGCACTCTAACTCCCTCTCTGTGGGGGGCGCCGTTTCTAAATTCACATGAAACGAGGAAGATCCAGACGATAAACGGGAGACTGCGGTGAGACGCTGCCAGCGGTTTGCTGAGAAAAGTTGTTAGTGTTCAATCCATCGACCAGAAAAATGCCTCAGATGGATTCCTGACCACACACTGAAGATTACAGGCAACAGTTGCCGCTGTGTGGCTTCATAACACACGCCGACACAAAAACATGTCCGCAAATGCACAAACACACACATATATGGGTTCATGCACACACAAATACAAAAATATAACAATTACAAACATACACACATTGAGATACTATGAATTAGTATGTAAAAATGAAATAATAATACATGGTCTCTATTAAAATGTGATATGCTCGATAGCAATTAAAAGGTAAACTATAAATGAATTAAATGGATAAAAATGATCAAATGAAAAGGGGGAAAAAAATAAGCCATGCAATAAAGAAGGGGACAATCAAAGGAATAAAAATGCAGTTAAAGGGTTGGAAGGAAAAGGCTGTAGTCATTAAAGCTCAGGATTAATGGGATGTATTGACTAAAGTTTTGGGATTACTAATATTTTTATCACTAATGTTATTGTGCATCTGAATATTTATGTTTAGAGCATTAGTGTAGTGTATCAGTATATTAATAAATATACTAATTTTATTGAGAGCTTTCTCATGATTCTGCTGACTTACTATAGGGGCTGCTGCCTCTAAATGAGTTGTTTTGCATTTGAGACTCGAGTCACTTAACCTCTATAGCTCCTCCAAGGTTGATGCATGGATGAATGGAGATTTGAAATAAAAATAATGAATTCAAGCACAGGTGCAGTGTATAAACGACTGAAAGACTAAATGGTGACATCGGTTCTGAAAAGAAACATACCTGTGTCTAATATCACGATTTCTGGATGCGTAACATGGAAAAAAAAATGTAAGTCAACAATTAAAAACAGATATTCCTCAGATGATTTTCACAATTACGACAAGTTCTATAAGCTACAAAAGAGCAGATACGAATATATTTTACCTCAAGTGCAATTTTTACTTGATCTAATAATTAAATAATTTTAATTTGAATAAAACTGGTTAATTTAGATGTCACCATGTCACAGTTTGATTTTATTTATTTCAATATTTCAGGAGGGTATATGATTCAACCTTTTTAATAATAAAAATAATTTAAAATTGCTTAAACAAAAACTTACAAAAATTAAATTTATTACAATTAAACAACTAATAGAAATAAACAAAAACATAAAATCACTATTAGTAAGTTATTAAACTCTTGACATTCCTAAATAACCAAATAAAAACTATTAGTTTAAAAGAATGGAAATTACATACAGCAGTTACTTATACAATAAAATGAAAAAACAACCAAACAAAAAACTGACTGATAATTTGCTGATGGAAGATGGCAGACCTGAGCTCCAGGATGCTGATGGCGAATCCGTTGGGCAGAATCCTGCGGATGTAGTTGAAATCACCTACATACACACTTCCATCCGAACCGCAGGCCAGAGCGATGGGAGCAAACAGTTTCTGCTCCACGGCCGGGCCGTTGCAGTTTGGACACGGGATTGTGCGGACCGCCCCTGTCCCCATCACTGTGGAGATGACCAGAGGCTGCTGGGAAATAAAGACATTCTCTCCATTACCTTTATGAAGGATACCTGCAGAAGAGAAAAGAAACGGAATATTAGATTGAAGCCTTTATATATCAATGATGAAATGTGATGGTGCTATAAGACCCTGTAGAAACAAACTAAAGAAAGGAATGATACAAACTGCCATTCAGGGAGCTCTCAGGAGCCAACAAGATTTATTGACTGGGAGGATGTTAGATTTAAACATGCTCTACATTGGGCATCTTTTTTTTTGGTAAACACTGCTATGCTGCTGTCTGAAGGCCATAGTTTAAGCTCATTTTTCCTAGAGCACATGAAGGTCCAAGGGATCAACTTTTCATTTTAAAACTCTGTTGGAAACATTTGACTATTTTGGTCTCATGAATAGATTATTTTAGCTTTTAGGCTCTCAATCTTAAAACTTCATCATAAAACAATTCTTCAAAGACTATATAAATCGATGATAATGTTATAAGCTGTGTTGGTGAAAAGCATGCTTGAGTTAAAATATAAGATGTGAAAAATTAAGGTAATATTTTATGTATCATCTCTTATTAAGCCAAAACTGTGAAAATATTAATTATGTGTATTTAGGATACAAGGAAACATAGCCTGCCATTTTATTCCAAAAATGCTTAAAATTAAATTTTATTCATTTATGACCGTTTTAGGGCCAAAAAAAAAAAAAAACATAAATATGACAGAATTCTCCTGTAATACGGTCTTACTTTTGGACATTTTTGAAGGCAAAGTAAATAGACTAATGATTTTGAAAAGTGTTTTAATTTCTAAAAGAACACAGGGCCAAAAGTACCCATAGTTGAAGGAAATACCAATGTGCATGAGTGTGTGTGTATGTGTGATAATTCCTCACCACTCTCCAGATTGAGGACGTGGTGGTGGTTCAGTGTCCATCCGCCCAGGTTTGATGGCGTCAGCTCAAAGCCCTGCAGCTGAGCAACTCTCTTCTCCCAGAGCACAACGTCCAGACAGGATTCATACTCGTATCCAACAGAGACTGTCATTAATTCACACACATACACACACACACCAGTGTAAGTGCCAGACTTAGCCCATTAAATATCACCATCATCATCAAAATCCAAAAGAGACAAACCATCACCATCATCAGAATAAACAAATGTACCTACTCGCGCACAATTTCACTGGTGATTCTTCATTTTTAAGTGAACCTGCATAATTTTAATGCATAAATTACCCAGTATAACCAATAATAACTGTAATTTTACAAGATTAATTAGACTGATGTGAACTAACGGAATAACATCTACAAATACCTTACTCTACATAAATGTGTCGCGTCATAGGAAAATGTTTAAAGAGCTGAATCCAGTTAAAGTGAGCAGCAGGTTGCTACCGTGTATGTGGATAAATTATATTTGCTTCAGTTACAGTTGTGTTGCCATGGTGTTACGGTGAACTTAATTAGACAGGTGCTTCAAGATAGCAACGTTTGAGCTGTAGCCAACATAAAAGTTAGGAGGATGAATAATTATTAACCAATGACTATATTTGCCTATTTACAGAGTCATTAGGATTTTTTTTTATTGTCTTTCTACCTTTTAATAATATGTTACTGTCAAAACGTTACAATGTTACACTATAGATATAGATATATTAGCATCCTGTAATTTGTGGATAAATAATTTCTATTTGTGAAAAAAACAGCTGTTCACACATTTGTTTATTGTGACTATGAACTGTTTTTGCTTAATTCTTTCTAATTATCACTTGAAAACAGGAGTTAATTTCTTCCATAATAGCCAGTAATTACTCATTTTTAGCCATTCTTCAGTAGGTGCGCAAGTGTGCCATAAAACAGAATGCTTTTCAATGAGAAAAAGATGATGGATTAAGACTCTTGGCAGTGTCTGATTGCTGTCATTGTGATGGATCTCGAAATAATGGAGAGGGAGATAGCAAGAAAGAGGAGCTGCGATCATACAACAGAAGGACACAGTTGTCAGTCCTGTTTGGAGCACTAAATATGGTTGTTCATACAAAATTTAGTCATAAAAGACAGTGACAACCGCATTCAAGTTAGTTCCTTACATTTTCCAGGGGTCACAACAAAATTTTAAGAGCGAGTTCGATCGACTTGTGCTGTTTGAATGGAACCACACTTGACAAACAGTTGTCAGTCACATCATTGATATACCCAGGACATAAGTGTGAGGTTTGTAGGTTATTTTCTTGCTGTCAATCATTAATATTAGCTAGCTGTCAATCTCAGCTTATGAAAAATGACAGAAAGAGGGGTATTTTGAGGTAGAATACAGTTGTCAGTCCTGTTTGGAGTCCTAAACACAGTCGTTCAAATAGTTCAATTATGAAAGAGACTAAACCGATGCGCCTCTTGCATCTTATTAAGTACCTTCAATCCAGTTGCTCTACTTAATCTTCACACAACTTTATCTTGACATTTTATTTCATGTGTAATGGTTATAATACCATTTAAAAGTTTAGGGTCGGTAGGAGTCTTATGCACACCAAGGATGCATTTATTTGATCAAAAATACAACAAAAACTTTTACAATTTAAAAATAACTGTTTTCTATTTTAATATATTTTAAAATGTAATTTATTCTTGTGATGAATTTTCAGCATCATTACTCCGGTTTTCAGTGTCACACGATCCTTCAGATATCTTTCTAATATACTGATCTGGTGTTTAAGAAGGATTTGTTGAAAACAGTTGTGCTGCTCAATATTTTTTTGTAAAATGTGATGCTTTTTTCAGGATTCTTTGATGAATAGAAAGTTCAAAAGAACAGCATTTATTTGAAACACAAATCTTTTGAAACAGATTGAATTGATGCATCCTTGCTCTTTTAAAGTATTCAGTTAAAAACTGACCTTTTGAATTATAGTGTAAAAACTGAATGAAGGCTTATCTTAAAAAACAAAAGTTTGCTTTCCCTCACCGTGTGCCTGCACCAGCCCTGTGACCTGCTGGCCATAGATGTCGGTTTTATTCCAGGAGAAAACATATATGAGGTTTGGAGCTGCAGGAAATGATTTCAGAAGCTGCCGACCCTGGACGGCCACAGACAGATGGACTTTGGCCAAGCCCGGCGGGAGAGAGGAATGGGTCAGAACCACCCTCAGGAGAGAGCGATAGCCTGGAGCTCTGGAAGAGAGGTAGCTTAACTTCAGAATAGTAGCAGGGATAACCACCTCCTCTTGGACCACCTACAGAGAGAAAGAGACAAGGATGAATTAGGCAAAGGCACAGTTAGAGTGAGAGAAATTAATTGTATTTCTATTTACTGCATGCACTTTCCATACGGAACAAAACCCGAGCCAATGACTGTAATGCTGCCAAATAAATGTCCCATAAACACAGGTTGCAGTTCTTACAGCCTACAGACACACACACGAGCTTCGTTCCAAAACTGAGTGAGCTGTCTCGCTGTCAACTGCCTACATAGGCTACTGCCCTCCAAGACAGCATCTTAACTCAAATGAATTCTCATGAGGGACTGATTTGAAACGCTCTACATAAGCAGAAGGACTGCGTGAAAATGACAAAAATCCCTTGATTTCCCTTGATATTGCAATCATGATTATTAATACTACAAGTAAAAATAGTGGTTTTGTGTGGGCAAAATGTTATATTGTTACTGTGGTCTACGCATCTAAATTTAGCTGAGAACTGTGTTCCTGAATTGCTTGCTGTTTTATTCATCAGTCAGCTTCAGAGAGACTGTTTTCTTCAAACGTTGAGTAAATTATACACTCAAAAGTGTGCAACACGTCAATATTAGAACGTTCTCGTTACATTATAATCAACAAAGGTGTCAAGTTTACACAGTTTCACGCAACTGAGATTTGGACTCTTGAAAATGCTCACTTTATCATTTAAAAAAATGTCAACATCTTATTTTTACGCTGTGTTTATGCCTTGTTGATTATAATAGGAACATTCTTCTTTCTCTAGCACCGGCTCGCAGTGTAGATCAGGCATTACACGTCTAACACTGCAAGCGAGCAGTTTCATGTGTCACATAAATAGAATTGAAGTATACAAGAGACTTGAGCAACATTGATTCTGGTATAGTCTCATAGCACGTGGCTAAGATATTGCATCCAGTGTTTTCTCAGAGTGAATGTGTCTCGCACCTGTAGTTCAGGTACGACAGTTCCTCTGTCCTCACAGTCGGCGGCGAATCGCGGGAGAGGAGCGGACAGAACAATGGCATGTGGACTGATCAGGTTTTTCAGGTCACAGACAGGTGGTATGGACTCAGCTCTTTCCATAAAAACACGGTCCAGGACCATGAACTGGTTCCATGGAAGCCAGACAGACCGAATCTGGGACGAAAATGGGGCGCGCTGGAACAACAGAGTCACAGAGATTCCGCCCACTGCCAGAAGATCAAAGCTAGTAGGAAAAACAAAAATATGAACACACTTAAAAACAAAGGTTCACAATTTTTCCATACACCAAATATACAAGACAGTGTGCTATAAATACATATCATTCATATTTAAAAGATTGTGGCTGTTCAAATGTGTAAATTATGTTAAAAGAAGTCATCAAAAATACAGTCTTATGTATCACATAATCCTTCAAAAATCTGCTTAGTATTTTTGTGGAACCCATCATATTTTTTCAGGAGTCTTGGAAAAATGACTGGAAATAGAACAGCATTTATTTGAAACAGAGATCTTTTGTAACAGTAAATGTCTTTACTGTCACTTCTGAGCAATCTAATGCAGCCTTATTAAGCATTCCGTATTAATTTCTTACTTGAACAAACTTTTGAATAGTTGAATAGTGTATTTACGTGTATGTGGTTGAACGGTATATTTATGTGTGCGTGTATGTGTTTGTTCGCTTTAAATATCTGAGATTTCAAATTCAATTTGAATATGAAAATAAACTTTTTTGATTTTTAAATATAGCCATAAAATGAAAAAGAAATATTAAGATCACTGTTTAAGTAACAGAATGTTATTTAAAGAATCATTAGGTTTTGCACAAACTTGTGGAGTTCATGCAGCTTGAGTGCAGCTGTTAGTAAAGCAAAAGTGGACAAACACTAAGAAGGTCATGTCAAGTAATAATTTTTTTTCTATTCAACTAGCAGTATGAAACTTTTGCCTCCCACTAAATGTACGGAAAGAATAGAGTATACAGTAGGGCTGGGTAAAAAATATCGATATCTCGATATTAATCGATTCTCATTTTTACGGAACGATATCAATTCTTAAATCCCAAGAATCGATTAGTCTACTAATTAGTCTACTTCAGTCTGTGTGCATTGAATTTATTTAATACACGAGTTTCACAATTTGAGTTGAATTACTGAAATAAATGAACTTTTCCACGACATTCTAATTTATTGAGGTGCACCTGTATATCCAAAATAATCGATATTGAATCGAATCGAATCGCAAGCTTGTGAATGAGAATCGAATCGAATTGTGAAATTTGTGTCAAAACCCAGGCCTAGTATACAGAATACAGGGTTCTATACAACAAGTAGAACATACACAATACACTTCATATATAAATGAAGTATATAGGAGAGGTTAATACAATGTCTATGGTGTGTGTGTGTGTGTCTGTGTGTTAGTGCATGTTCTATTACATTTCTTTCTTTACAAAGTATTTAAGAGTATGTGTTACCTGCCGTCCTGTCGGCTGAGCGTGTATCCATATTCAGGGTTATGCTGAAACGTGATGTTCACACCAACAAGAGGAGTTCCATCAGAAGCCAAAACCTGACCTCGAATTACACACACTCGACTGCACAGAGAAAGAGAGAGACAGACAGA